GTTAAATAAAACAAACATTGACAATTCATTTTCAAAACATGTCCTGGTATAAAGCGACCAAAATTCATTTTGAAATGTCAAATTGGAAAGTTATAATGCATTGGCAGAAATGCTTTTTCATTTCAAAGTCAAACCTGCATTTGTTTACTCACAAATAAAATTAGAACTAAATAATCCAAACTGCATTATCATTATCTTTTCCAAAACTGCTAAATTTGTTTAATAATTTTACCTAATGGAAGCATAAATAAAGAGAATTGGTCCAAGCACTGAACCCTGAGGAACTCCATGACTAAGTCTGGTGTAAGCAGAAGATTCATTATTAACATTAACAAACTGAAATCTATCAGTTAAATAAGACTCAAACCATTTTAGAGCTGTTCCTGTAATCCCAACATCAAGTTCAAGTCTACGTAATCAAATATTGTGARCAATTGTTCGAGTCCACAGTCCTGCCATTTGCTCTTCATGAGGCCCCAGCAACATTTCAAAGACTAATGGATCAGGTATTCTGTGTGCTCTCAACATTCACCTGTGTACACCTTGATATTGTTTTCAGTTGAATTTGGGAAGAACCTGTTCGACGTAAGGGAGGTCCTAGATCAGCTGCATTCGGCAGGACTCACCGTCARTTCAGCTAAGTGTGCTCTTGCAAGGACAGAAATACAGTACCTTGGGTTTACCATTGGAGGTGGAACAATTAAACAGGTTGATAAAATGAATGCAACAGCATCACATCCTCTTCCACAAACCAGCTACAATCTTTTCTTGGCATGGCTTCATTCTAGCTCAGATTCAATCCCAGCGTCTCAGCTAGAGCAGCATCCCGACCAGATACGACTGGCTCAAGATATCTCAATAAAATCCAGTGTAGAGAAGCTGAAGTTTTCAAAGATATTCACCAGTCCCTGAGTAAGAACCCAGTGTAACACCCACCATATTTTACCAAAGACTTTTTGTTGCAAACTGATGCCTCTGAAAGAGGTCTTGGGGCAGTGTTTTTGTAGGGACCACCAGAGGACTGACATCCTGTTGCGTATATAAGCCGTAAGCTGTTACCAAGGGAGAGATGGTACACAACTGTGAAGGAGGCCTTGGCCATTAAATGTACACTTTACTCACTCAAGTATGGGAAAAGAATTTGTCCTTCAAACTGACCATAAAGTCCTGCAGTGGCCAGACAGAGTGAAGGACATACTAATGGGAAAATCACCAGATGGGATCTTATATGCACTCATTCCAATTTAGGGTTCATCACATCCGTGGTAAAGACAAAACCATTGCAGATTACCTCTCTCACTGCCAGAGTGAAGACCAAGAAATGTGTGTGTGTACACTTGACTCTGATACAGAGTGAGGACCATAAATGCATAAACGTAGTTACAAAAATAAATGGAAGTCAATACAATGTCCTCAGTTTAATGCAAGAACAAGGATGTGTGTGTGTGTGGGTAGGAGGTGGGTCTGGCTAAATGCAAGACCACCCCAATCAACTGATTATATTTGTTTGTGTATATAACTAATTCTTGTTTCCTTTTCTGGTTTCTTGTCTGCCGTGGTCCCTGTGAGTTCCCAGACTAAAGATGGTGGCCAGGGCTTGGACCACMTAAATGAAGTAGACCATTGGACTGCACCACCAGTTCCTGCTGGACGGGTGGAGCTTGTATTTTCTTTATTTAAACAAGTTTTGTATTTAACTGAATATTTCCATTTAGAGTTTAATGTTTTTGATTTCTTCTTTGGTTTTTAGTTTATTAGCAAACTTAACTGTACTGTTGTTTCTTGTAGTTAGTGACTGTATTGTTTCCTATTGTGTTGTAATGGTCTGATACCAGTATATACTGTATATATGTTTGTGTCATTTCGTCAGAGGTCACATACTCTGTGTGTGTGTTTGTGTGTGTGTGTGTGTGTGTGTGTGTGTGT